TGAACAGTGGTTTCACCTACCTTCTTCACCGAACAAAGTTCATCGCACGGTCGCGATTGTTCGGTAGTATTTCATTTTTTCTTTTCTTTTTTACAAATCAGAATGACCTGAAATTTGGAGCGTGTGTTCATAAAAATGAACAAATCTACGAAAAATATCAAAACAATATTTTACAAGAAAAAATTGATCAAAATACCCCCAAAAAGTTTGGGGCATATTTTGATCAATTTTTTTTTTTACGAATTATTTTTTTTATATTTTTGTTAGGTTCGCCTCACTAAGATGTACACACACTCTAAATTTCAAGTTATTTCAATTTGTAAAAAACAAAATGAAAAATGAAACACTACCGGACAATCGTGACCTTATGATGAACTTTAGACGATGATAAAAGTAGACGAAATCATTGTTTATTTTCGCCCATAGGCCTTAAGAAGAGTTTTTTATTATATATTATATGTCATATATTATATATTATATATTATATATTATCTTATATTATTAAAAAAAAAAAATAAAGGTGTTTTTTCTAAGAAACGATCCAAATTCTTCTATTAGAATGACATGATGTTATGTTTGCTCTCTCTCTCTCTCTCTCTCTCTAGAATAACATAATGTTCCGTTGCTCTCTCTCTCCGTCTCTGTCTTATCTTATATGACAGGTTGTTTTCATGGAAGAAGAAGTTTTTTGTTTAATCCAAAAAATTTCGACTGTGAACTGCACATCGTTTGGTTTCTATAGAAAGAATGACATTTCCATTATTTCAATGGTAGCCATCACTTCAGATTAATTTGGACTTGATTTTGTATCCTACAAATTCGTTTCAATTCATTTGAAAAATAATTTATATACTATTTTTTTGAGAGGGTGATGAAGTTTTTATAAGGCTTAGGTTTTATAAAAACAAAATAAAACCTCATCTCAAATCCTTATCCGGAAAGCATTTTCGGCATTGGAAATCTTCTTGATGGCTCTAAAATTGCTTTCCACAATAAAATTCGAAACACAAAAAATGGTATAGATCTTGTAGGTTGGTGAACATTTATTTTTAGAGCGAAATGAATAGTCTAGATAATTTTTTGAATGTTTGTCCAAAAAAAAAAAAAAATAGTCTAATTTGTTGCAACATATATTAATTTTAGATTTTGAAATCCAAATTGTTTTGCACAACCATAGTGTTCAAGCGGAGGTGATGGATTTAAAGGTTTTTTAATTACAATTTTTGATAAATTATGTGGGGAGGGTTTACTTATTTTAATAGGATTGAAACTCTATAAAACCATTTTTCAATTACAATAACATGCGCAACACTAGTAACTGCTGATGAAAGTAAATAGTATCTTATATATATATATATGATGCGGTTTTGTATAGAGCCTAGGCCCTGAACAATCAAATTAAAGCCTTCTTTCAAATAGTATCGAAAACTGTGGTTTCAATATTATAAATCTTTTTGATAGCCTTAAAATATCTTTAAACTTGACGGTCCAAAAATGCGTTACAAAATATACAATTTCCAAAACTTGAAATCAATTTTTATCTCATGTCTGTGCATCTTGATGTTGAGATGATCAATTTGAAGATATTTAAGCATCAAAACAACCTCTTCTAGTGAAATTTTTTATGTAGGCTCAAATTTGATTATTTAGAGCCTCGGCTCTATATAAACGTTTCCTATATATATATATATATATATAGTAATGATCCTATGAAACCCTCACACACACATATATATATGTGTAGAACCCCAAATGATCAACATTAAATTTGATATGGATCTCTAACATCCATGTGATAACTTTTTTAAAGATATGTCAAATTGAATGGTAATCCTTTCGGATCCTACACACATGGGTGTAGAAAGATCT